AATGTGGTCTGGGCACACATGCAGACATTTGCCTGGGAGTTTTGTGGGAGCAATAAACTGCAGAGCAATCAGGTCCATAGTTTATTGCTGCCTCCTTAATGGCACATGTAGATGTGCCCACTGAGTACTATGATCCAACCAATCTGGAGAAGTGAAGACTGAGAGAGGATTTAATACCAACCTTCAACTACCTGAGGTATGGTTACAAAAAGGATCTAGCTAGACCATTTTCAGTGGTGGCAGATGGCAGAACAAGGAGCAATGGTCTCAAGTTGCAGCAAGGGAAGTTTAGGTTAGATATTAGGAAAAATTTTCATGAGGAGAGTAGCAAAACACTGTGTGGAAGAGTTGAGACCAAGAGGTGGCTGTGAAGGTCCCTGGTGGCCATGTGAGTCCAGCTGGGCTCTGTCTCTGTCTCTGATGTGGCCCTCTCTTAACTGCTCACCTGTCATGCCTTGTTATTGAAGTTAAATAAGGGAGGCTGCCCATGGGCCTTAGAAAGAGCCTGTGTCCACTCAGTTCATCCAGGGGTCCCTCCTGGACCCTGCTAGTGTCAAGCAGCTTTTGTGCTAAATAGGCCTGAAGGGCAATTTGTGTGGTTCCATTCCTCCCCTTCACCACAACCCAAGCCTTGCAAGTGTTATGGTAATGTTATTCCCTCTGTTGGGACCTTGGCCTCTGCCCTTTTAATTTTTACTATGCCTTTTAGCCTAGACCCACTGTATCAGACCTGGCTTTGAGGCACTAACTTCAATTTATCAGATTCAATAACTGGGTCTCTGCCCCCACCCTCCTCTGGTGCCCCCCATATGGCTGTGCCCCTCTGGCACTGGGCCACTATCTCATTGTGCTCCTGCACCCTACCCCTCTCTGTGCTCAACAAAAGCCTCAGACCTTGAGTCTTCCCCTGGTGGGCACTAATGGGACCTCCATAACTACCCCTCCTAGTCCCAACCCAAACCATCAGCATAAACAGTAACCCAAACCATAAGCTGCCGGGCTGTAACAAAAACATGAGCAGCAGAAACAGCCCTCTGTCCCTATCTAGCAGTGGGTATACCTTCCTGAGGTACCTTTCCGCTCTAATGTTCTATGATTCTGTGATTCTATATGAATCATTATGAACACATGTACAAATGATGAATTACAGGGGATCCAGGTTGTAGCTGTATTGGTCTAGAGGGAAATGGAATCAAAACTCAGGGCAGTTTATATGTATATATCTATAGTTTATATATATAGAGAGAATATATATATTCTCTCCCGAGCTGCAGCCAAGGGAGCAGAGGAGAGGGGCCATTTCTGCTGCAGAGCAGAGACCCCCACCCAGCTTCGAGAGCATGCTGGGATGCTAGAGGAGTCTGCTTTTAACGTAAATCAGCAAGGGGTCTGGGACAGACATTGCATAAACTGGTTTGACTCAAATCAGTTAAGTCTGATACTACATTCAACCAGGTTTATCTCAAACCGTTTTCAGCCATTTTCAAACCAGTTTATGTGCACTGAACATCTGTTCTGTTACAGATTTAAAGCAGTTTCTGTTCACTTAAACCAGTTTATGTGTAATGTCTGTCCCTAGCCATGATGGGACTCTTTCTGTGAAAAAGGTTAACGTGTGGAATTTTTCAATACATGAAGGTTTCATAATTGCAAGAAAGAGAATAATAATGTTCTTCATCTGTCTTTTCATCTTTAGCATAAAAAGAAATCAGACTGCATCTATGAATTCATTGTAATTTGCTGAGCTATATGTAACCTTTTCCTAATTATTATTTGTATTGTAAATGCTGCACTCAGAATGGGGGAAAAAATGTTTCAAACGATTCCATGAGGTACAGGGACAAAGTAACCATGCAGGATTCTGTAGTTTAACATCTTGTGTAAGGTTTACTGCCTTCATGGTCAGCATGGATTCCTTTACACAGAGGGCCAGACTCTCACCGCTTTACTGATTCTTCTGGAGCTATGCTGCTAGCATACCCCTGCTGAAGATCCAGCCCTGAGGTGGAAGTACGCCACACAGCATTTGGATGTGATTTCAAGCACCCCCATGCTTGGCTTTGTTCCGATCTAATGTTTTGGTTTGTGTCCATCTCTATTTAAAAATATAAGCATGTGTTTTTAAAAAATGTAACTTGATTCTGATACTGTTTGCTATTTCCTAAAAAGTTCCTAAAATATATTTGTTTTTGTTTTTACTTCAATTCATTAGCAAAAAGAAGAAACAAAGGCGAAATCTTAGATCTTTATTTAGACAAGAGCAGCTTCCAGGAAGCACTTATAGACCTGACTGTAATTTAGAGAAAATGCTATAGATAATACTATGGGAATGCTTGCTTGCTCATTTCTGAGCCCTGCCAAAAGATACCAGCTAATAGCCCCCAGTCGGTTTTGCCTGAGCTAGTTTATTTTTATTACTAAACATTTAAAATTGACACAATTGACTGTGGTTCAGTCAGACATTTATCTGGACTGCAGTGTGGGAGAGGGCTGCAAAGCCTCACACCAGAGGACAGGTTAGATAAACGTAAGCAAAACACTAGAGCTCTCTGAAATGTTCGTAACAAAAACCTGGAAACGTATTGAACTCACCTTGACTGGAGATTTCTTACAGATTCAGCCCAGGTTCTCACAAAGATCCACTAAGGTTCGCGATGACTTAAAGCAAGCCTGGACACAGTTTCCAGCAAACCTTGGCTGATTTCTGCTTTGAAATAGAGGCAGACCTGTGCTGCAAACAAATCTGGCTGATGAATTTCCTAAGCTTCATGTATATTCAAATCCAGATTTTCAGTTGGCACATTTTATACTCAAGGACCAGCTGCAGATTTCAGAGATGATATTATAATTTTGCTGGGGAGCAGGTAAGAATTTAGGTGAATCAAAATGGGAGGAAATCTTTGTTCAAACCCTGTGAAGCATAACCACATGGAGACTGCTATAACTTTACTATTTATAATCCTAGATTTTAGTGGTTTTTATTTTTAAGCATACCACAATCGCAATAAATAAAAAAAATGGTCTGAATTTTTTCAGATAACTTTTTGTTTATAGAGAGATCACGTAAAAGAAGAGAAAATATGTGAATTTTTATTTCCAAATTGTGAATTTCAAATTTTCAAGGCAATAAAAAAAAGAAATAGTTCAACCAAATGTATTATATAGGTGTGCCAGTAGATCAGGTGATGCTGGGTCAAACATTGGCAAACTCTTTTTATTACTCATTTTACTATTAGTAAGTAGACTTTGCATGGTTTTTTATAATTCTTAATTTTTTATTCTAAATAGGGTCCAATCCCTTTCTCATTCATTACTGAAAGGATTCACATGAGTCAAGACTACTCCTGTGAGCAAATGTATGATGAACTGAGCCTCAATTTGCTTTGTTTATATACAATACTAAGGATAGTTATGAGGCTTTTCTTATCACAGTTTTATTATAGCATGAACTGCAATAGACTGAGAGTATGTTTAACTTAAGTTTGTAATCACATGTCTCTAAACAATACTTCAGCTCTGTAGGAAAACGAAAGCAAAGCATTGCAGTGTGTTTTTCAAAGATATTATATTCATAAAAATGGAAATTCATGGCTAAATTTATACCCCTAACTATATTCTTTTTAAAGGGAAGTCTGTTGGATTAGGTGTCAATGGCCAGGGATGGACATGACACACAAACGGTTTAAGTGATCAGAAACTGGTTTAATCCTCTAAAAGAACAGATGTTCGGTGCACATAAACTAGTTTGAAAATGGCTGAAACCGGTTTGAGATAAACCTGGTTGAATGTAGTATCAGACTTAACTGATTTGGGTCAAACCAGTTTCTGCAATGTCTGTCTCAGACCCCTTCCTGGTTTATATTAAACCAGAGTCCCCTAACATCCCAGATGCTTTACAGTCCTGGTCTGGGCTGTCTGGTCCAGAGCAGGGCTGGCCCCACCCCTGTACTTCCTAGCTGGAGCTCCAGTAGAGACTGCAGGCACAGCAGGGTCTGCTTGGTTTCCCCTGACCACCCCCTCCCTCACCACCACTCGCTGCTTAATCAGGGATTCCCCTCCTCTCTCCCACAGCATGGACCCATAGCCAGCATGTGGTATGCTAGCTAATGCTGAGAGGCATCTGTGTATGGTAGACAGGACAGTGTATGCTTAAGGCTTTTTGGAGTGAATCAACAGGTCAGCTGGTTATGTCCCTCCTTTCCTTCCTCAGAAAGGTGGTTTAAGAAGAGCTTAAACTAATGAGGGAGGCTTTTGTCGTCTTGGTGGTGTGCTAAATGCTATGTTATCAACTCCCTGCTGGCTCCCTCCCTGGTCAGGACCAGCAAGGGAGAGGGAACCCTCCCTAATCAGAATGTCCTGCTGGGGCCTGGCCATGTCCTCCCGCCCTCAGCTTAGCACTGTAGAAGGGAAGGGAGGGCTGCTCTAGTGCCCCCTGACTGCTAGCCTGAGCCACTGCAGGCATGTGCCTACATTTTCTCAGTCCAGAGGTTATGTCTGTGCACTTGCAGACTAGTTCAACCTAGCCAGGTTAGACTAACTTGCACAAATTGAATCAATTCAGGCTAAGGCTTTTTGAATGTCTGTCTCTACCCAACGACTCCATATTCACTTTGACCTTTTGTGGACCTGTTAGTATGGCAGCACATATTAGTTACACAGTGCTCCTATTTCTTCTACAGCGCGGGTGGGCTGGAGTGGGGTTGGGAGTGGTACACCCATGGCTTTGCACTTCAGTATGGTTTGGAAGGGAGCAAAGCCTAGGTATTCCAACACATTTATCAGTTTACACTGTGTGGGGTATAGATCTCTTTAGAGAACCCAGAAATATGGAGGGAAGAGTCACTCTGAGTCACAATTTTCTAAGGGCAGTACAGCAAATGTTTTTCTTCACTTATGGTCTGGTTGTCGATTACAGACACTTCTTGTACTCTTAATCATCATATTTTGCAGTATGTCTGAGGCCAGTTCTACCTACAGTTATAAAATCATTTGCCTGTTTATATTTTTTGTAAAGACAAATAAATAAAAGGATCAGCTATCTAGGGCTATGTACAACCCTGCCATAAATTATAAAAAAGAAAAGTTAAGTGAATTTGTGTGTAGAAACCTCAGTCCTTCTTTGCAGTTTAGGTGTTCATGCATATGATAATTTAGGCTTTAAGCTGCAGAAAAGGAAAGTGCATTTGAAAATCAAAGGATTTGACCTTCTGGTTATGTCACTGGCATGAAATGCAGCTTATTTTAAAAAATGATTTTAAATCACTGGAGACACTGCTGCTGACTTTGCCAGAAAAGTGCTGTGCTAATTTGTCCCCTCAAAAGCTGCCCTTCCTGACTACGAATGTGAAAAGAGAAGGGAGATGTGTGAAAAAAAATAAGAGCAAGGAAAGGTGAGAGAAGGGGACATGGAAAGACAAAACAATGATAAGTGAAAATATCTGAGGTTGAAATTTATAGGGCCAAATTTTTAAAGAGCCTCCATTTTATTTTGCAGTGGGTTGCAGTGGCAACAGCACTCAAAGTGTCCCGCTAAAGCTCTAGATCTCCCCTCACCCCAGCTGTAAATAGTGTCTGGCTGTGAAGTTAGCCACATCAACCCTTTGTGTGCTACTGGCATAGAGAAACTTGTTTGCTCATGGATTGCTATTCTCAGGGAAACCTTTTGTTTTGCTGTTTGCCTGAATATTCTTTCATTAGCAACAGTTACTGCATCTGGGCATGTGTGAGAGTTGGGTAATTACTAGAGTTGAGTGAATTGGGTATATGTTAGTTAGTTTTTATAGGACACATACTGGGAAGAAAATATAGTTTTGTTTCTAATTTCTGGGTAAGTGTAAGGCATGGTCAATGCTATGCACATTATGTTAGTAAAACTTGCCTCCTCCCATAAGAGTCTTATGTCCATCCGCAGCCTATTTGAGTCCTGCTGATGAAACATTCAGTTTCTGTGGGTCAGGTAAATCAATTACCCTGCTGGCATAAGTACTGTACTGGCACTAGTTCACCAGCACAATGCTTGTGTGGATGCTGCATTACCTGTATCTCTGGAAACACACCTCCAGAAACAAGAGCACAATGACACTAACTGTTTTGACAATGACTGTTTTGGTTGAATTTTAAATTCCTCTGTCCAAGGTCATAACAATTGTTTCCAGTGTTTTGGAAATGCCTCTCTTTTCCCAGGCTGCCTTTGTGAGCTCAAAGCTATAGCTGCATGTAAATCTTCTGATTCAGGAAAGAAATTATGGATTTTCAAGGAAGCTGGAGTATGACAAACAAGATTTCTGGTGCCAAGTAAATGGGGAAGTGGCAGCTTTACCAGCAAGAAGCCAACACTGCATGTGGTAATGTCCTCTAGGACTGCTATTTAATTATTTATTGTATACAGGCAAATGACATACTTAGTGGGGTTCCTACTCCAAATCATCACAGACAGTGGACACTTCATGGTGTCTGCAAGAAAGCCTCCCACAATGGAGAGAAAGGCAGAAAGGATGCAAATAGCCAGGAGCTCTTTGAGACTCAGTTGAACCCAGAGAGAGACCCTACAGAGGAATGGAAAGGGATGACTAGTTATTTATCCACTGAAATACACCACATGAATTCTCTTCAGGGCCTTTGCCGCTGCATGACAATTCCTCCTTCCTGCATTTCAAAATGGAGGCTGACTTTTTTCAGACGGGGAACAAAGGAATTCTCTTTTAAACTAACTGGCTCATTTAAGAGCATGCACTAGCTGTAACAGGGAAAAACAAAAAGAAAGGATCCTTCAGATAATCAAAACCCCTTTCCCAAATGTATATAATAGCATGAGTCTTTGATGCATTTGAAGTAAAAACGTTTTTGTGTAGAAAAAAAATTCTAGTGAAATAAAAAACCCATGCAAATATAATTCAGTGTTTTCCAAACTGTGAAAAAGAAACAAATGCAAACTAATACCTAACCCTATCCCCCACTAAAAAATAGGCAGTATCTCCCTATACCTGAAGAAGAAGGTACTTGTGCCCGAAAGCTTGCAAAGAACTTTGTTCCAACTACTCAGTTGATCTAATAAAAGATGTCACATCTACCCAGCGAACCTTGCCAACCAACACCTAGGCATTCAAATGAAACCCATAAAAATAATACACAAGAAGACCTTCAAGCATTCCTCTGACTGGATACTCGGACTAGATGTAAATTTATTGGATCCAGGCTTTCTGCCTGCTGTACTTGGATGCAGGAAAGAGGCAGAAACTGTTGTTGGCTCGAGGGGTGGCTTAGATTGGTTCACAGAGCTAACCAGTGACCACAGTTCTTCTCTGATTGAGGAACTTTTTGTTTGTCTTGACCCAGACATCGTTTTTGTCCCCCAACACTCTGCTGAAATTCTCCTTGATCATATTTCTCAAAGAATAGCTTTAGTTCCCTCTCAACTGTGAAAAACCTTCAGTACATCTCTGCAGTAAGCACTGAGAGTGACATCGCATCACCGTAACAGCATATGGGCCCAGACAACTTTGAGGTACCTTAGGTAGCTACCTTCTCTGGTCTTCAGCATCCATATGTGAGAAATTAATGCTAGAATAACAAGTTCTGTTTTAATAAGCTCAGCAGCATTTACACTTTATGCTTGCCTGGCATACCCTCGCATGGCTAACTGGTTTGAAACGTATCCCAATATACTCCTCAGCATCGGTGGAATCCTTAAGGGTAACTCTCTCCAAATCTTCTATAAAACTAACCATAATAAGAAGGAAAAAAAATGAATAAAGAAATGCAAGTTCCCGGAACTACTTCAGAGTTTGAAGTCCAGAGCCCATTAAATCAGAGAATTCAGGAAACAAATGCTAGAGCAGAGGCAAGAGGACAGTCTGATGCATCAAGCAAATACACTCCTATTTGTCAAAATATTGTGGAACACCCAAGGGCCTATAAATCAGCAGCCATTAACTGCATGGGCCATTTTGCCCTGGATCCTCTGGCATGGGCTCCTCTCAATGTATTAGTTTGCTGGGCAGCATATTCCTTCTACTGGACATTAAGGAGAATAGTAATAGGTGTATTTGCAGTGACTTTTGATGCAGCAGAGTGTTTATCCCACTTTGCATTTCTTTTGGTGTGTGTTTATTACTGAACAACATTTTCTTTTTGTGAAAACTGATTCCTTTTTCTCTGAGTTAAAATACACTGACTTTCACTCAGTGCCCACATCCTTGACTGCTCCACAATTTTCTGATTTTTGGTTGCTGTGATCGTGGTTGCTGTTTTGCAAATGCAGGAAAAGCAGCCCTGTATCTAAAATACTTATGACAGTTCTGCTGATCTGTTCAGCAATCAAGCTTCTGGCAATGAGAGGGAGCACTG